TGACCCTAGAGGACAGGGTAGAACTGCCCCTGGGGGTTTCTGAGGCTGGAACTCTTTAGGGAATAGAAATCCCCACCTTTCTCCTGCGGAATGGCTGGTGGTTTTGAACTGCAGACCTTGGTGTTAGCAGCCCAACACGTAAGGTGGAGGCCAAACCCAGGCAAGGACAACCTTCAGTGAGATGAATTGATACCAGGGCGGCAACAATAGACCGGAGGATGCCAAGGATCATGAAGACTGTGCGAGCCCAGACAATGTTTCCTTCTGTTAGACATAAGATCTCTGGGAATAAGGCGTAAACTCAAGGGTAACTAACCATGGTGTTTGAAAGCATGGGGAGCGGCCATGGAAGAGTGGCATGTGAAAAGGTTGCATTGTTGAGGAGAGCACATTTTGTTCGGACGCTTGGGGGGACTACCAAAGGTGAGAATGCAGAAATTCTACAGTGCACCAAGAAAGCTTTTTCTGTGCTTATTACCAGGAGGGTGATGGCATGGACCTTGTATATTACTCATGTAAGCTGGTACCTTTCCCCACCGAGGGCCATTGAGGGCATTCTCACCCCCAACACCAAGTCTTTTTTTTTTCTTCTACGAATATTCTTTATGCTTTAACTAGTACTACATCATTTTTGGATCCGGTAAACTGCTGCTATCCTGATTGAAATGCCAAGAAGGATATATCATAAATGATCATGTATTAAATAGCAAGTAAATTTCAGGGCGTTGATATAAATATGCAACCTGCTGATCTCTTTTTAAGGGAAAAAAAGTGATGGGAAATTAATTTTGCAAGACCTTGCCTGGTTAATTATAAACCTGACTGTTACAGGGTGATGTCGGCAGGGACCCCCCAGGGTTACCCAGGGAATCCAGGGCGGGGCGGGGCAAGGCCAAACTCATTCTGATTGGGCGACAATTCAGGCAGGCTCCTGAGTTAAACCGGGAACCAACGAGCGCGCAGGGGGCGCGCCTGAGAGCCGGAAAACTTCCTGGTAAGCAAACACCGAGGTTGTGGGAAGGCCCTGGGCTGGGCGGTTCCCCCGAGTTCCGGTTGCGTGCTCACCCGGCGCTGAACTCCCGCAAGTTGCACTATACCTCGCAGCCCGTTTTTCCACCAGTTACAACAAGGACGATCAAGTCTCACAAACTTTTGGAACAAGGACTCCAATCTAGTCTGTGCTTTGCAGGTACCACGCAGTTCCCAGATCGGATCCCTGGGGGGCGCGGCGGATCAAAGGGGCAGCTTGCTGCAAGGAGGTGGCGCCACCTGCCCTCACACACCTGGGCGTGCGGAGGAACCGAGCGTCTCCCAAGACGTCTCCACCCTTCCGAGTCCGGGCCCGCCTTATCTCCACTACGCCCCAGGCTGCTCTTTCAAAGCCACACGCCCATTTCCTTTTCTTCTCGGTCACCTGAACGTAATGACAAGAAGCCTACCGTCGAGGACACCCTCATTTCGGGTAGCTATGAGCCGGAACAGACTCGGTGGCAGCGGGTGTGATTGTTGGTTAGTGGTGGTTCGGTGCCATCAAGTCGGTTCCGACCCATAGCGACCGTGGATGCACTTCAGCACGAAAACTGCCCGGTCCTGCGCCATCCTCACAATTGATTCCTCGCTTCAGCTCGCCACCAATAGCCTGGCTTTGCTATTTACTGTCGCTTTCAAGTTTAATTTCTACGGCGGGGGAGAACCAGGCGAGGGTGACATCCAAGTTGGCTTCTAAGAAGTAAACAGGCTCGA